CAGAAATGAGGCAATAGAAATTAAGTGCGCTTTTTAGTGACTAAACTGTAACCCCCCCCCTTCAATTTGTCTGCACCTTTTTCTTATATATTCTTATATTTCTGGAGATGAACCCTAGTTTGTGAGCCAACAGACAACATTTTAGTCAATTTTTGGTCTCCTGAGGGAAAGTGCAGACTATAAACAGGAGTATTTTGTGAATTAGTGATGGGAAGTGAGAACTGGTGGTGAAAGGGTTAAGCATCCAAAAGGAATTTACCGTGCTCATAATTTGCTTACATAGATCTGTTTTACATGAAAGAAAGGCACCAACCAGTAAATGGCTGGGTTTAAATTCATTTTGAAGGGGATTGGGCATCACAGGCCAGCATAAAAACAGCAGCACGGCTTAAGTTAAGGAACCCTTGACTGTACATGTGAACGGAAAACTGTTTTCCCGTTCTTATCTTTCTACCATGTGCAACTCACACACACAGCTGTTACTATTTCTTGTGCAATAAAATATTGGTTGTTTGGTAAACTTTAGATAAACAAAATACTAGTTTCTATATCTGCAGGTATAAAATATATCATATAGCATTGTGGCTAATTTGCATGATAATGTAATAAGACTCACCCCTTGATTGTGTTACATTGTTATGATAATTATGCTCTACTTTATACGATTTTATTTATGACATGCAATTTTAAAAACACATGCCCGTATTAATTTTGTAAAAACAAAAAATTGAATAGAGACGTTTTTCTGCGCCGCAAACAAGCTTTGTAAATATAGAATATGTATTTTGTGGTTTAAAGTTACATGGCATTCCAAGTAAAAATATAGGAATTGTACTTTATCTGAGTAACGAAATTAGTTAAAAAATTTATTTTTGAAAGTCCGTTTATGATTATCTACTGGATAAGAACCAGTGCGCCTTCTAACAGGACTGATTTTTTAGAAATCCTGAATCAAAACGGAATCTAGTTTGAGTCAACCCATGAGGTAATCAGTTTTCAAGAAAAAATAAATTGTATGCGACCGTTTAGGTGACTTGGCATGTGGCTCCTGATTTCATTTCGTATTTACACTTATTTTGTTTAAAAATTTGAATTTGAATTTAACAAATTACATACTATAGTAAAGAAATGAAATTTGCTCCAAAAGAAGCGCATATAAACCAAAATCACATTTGTTGTAAAATCAATGGTTAAAATACGACTTATTTTGACCATACAAATACCTGTGGTTTTATTTGCGATGCCATTTGGGGTCGCCACAGCTCTTATGTGTCAATAAAAATCCTAATATCTGAAAATAACAAGTTTAATGACACAAAATGCATCAGAAATGACTAAAATACCATCACAATTACTAAAGACAAGTTATGGACCCATAGCTACTGTGCTACTAATAGAATAAATACAGTACAGATTTTATAAAAAAAACCCAAAACAATTTGTAACTTTCTCTATATAATTAATAACATAGGTGTGGTAGAAAGCTAAATGTATATTCCCTGAGGGATGAGCCACATTAATGACAGGTCAACAAACTATTAAAAAACACCAGGGGGAGTCAACAAAATATAGGTGGGGTCAGATTAACATGACTATTCACTATGTATATAGCTCAATTTGAATATATAACAATGAAACCAGTGTAGTTTCAACTACACATCTACTTGTGGCAAATACAAGTCCTATCTGCAATACCAGTTCCTACTTGTTCTGTACAGTGTGGATTTACAACAACAATAAACACAGTATAACTAGTGTGACCTTGCCCTTATCAAATTATCTACTAGCATGGCACCAGTCTTCTCCCCAGACTTCATGTCAAGCATCACGGTCAATTTGCATAACAATACATCTAATTTGCATAATTATATTGGCATAATAATCAGTTTTTCCCCAACAAATATTGTCAATCTACAATTAATTAATTACTCTAGTATTTTTGGGGGATTTGGAGGCTCTGCACCCTTGAAAGACTTTGTAACTTCTTGCAGACTTCTGTTTTTATCACCGTCTTTGTATGGCTAACAAAAGCGGGATTACCTTTCGATCAATACATGTAATTGTTTTAAATACGTGCAAGATAAGACTGACACTTGTAAACAAAGCAATAAGCATCACGGGCGAGTGACCAAGCGTCACGGACAAAGGGCAAGCATCACGGCCAAGTGTCCAAGCG